GAAAGTTTTATCAAAAATCGATTATTAAAAAAAGGAAGAGATGCATCTTGGCGAAGGGGTACAAAAGCGCGTGGGTGCACAAAAATATGAATTCCTCAAAATATTTATATTAAAACATACTTATATAAATCGCATATTTAAATAGACAATTATAAAGTTATATGCAAATATTTGGTTATCCTAGCTCATCAAAGGCTTTAGAAAAAAAGGTGACATATCAGCTAGATACAATAGCACTCGAGGGTGCTATCAAAATTTTGCAACTTAGTTTGTCGGAAATCTGCAATAAATGTACATATTTTGCATAAAATATATTTATCAATCAATTATCGATCGAATTTCATCAATATCCTTTTATTGCTAATTTTTTACAGACGATTAAATTAATCCCGCAACTTACTAAAATTCCATTATTCCTTTCTCGTCCAAAATTGCAGAACAAGTGCGCTCGTCGGAAAGCCGCTAAAAAACTGCGTTTACATTGAAAATTATGGCTAATTTTTGTGTAAAATAAATTAGTCGATCTATTACCGATCGTATTTCATCGATTTCCTTTTAATTTCAATCTTTTCGAGACGATTATCTTAATCTAAATGTAAAATTGTATTGGTGTGCTGGTCGGACGATGCGTGCGCGTCGGCTAATTATCACTAATAGCGGCGGCGGTACAGATTTCACTCTTTCCTCGGGGCAAATTCTCACTTGAGCAATGAAGAAAAAAGTACTATATAACACGGTACAGATTTAATTGAGAAGAAAAAGAAAAATTGTATTGACGGTACAGATTTAATTCAAAAGGTCTCTTGTCTCAAAATTAAGAATCTTGAGTCAAATCCTTTAAAATATTATAAATTGTCTGAAACGTTGCAGATTTTTTAAAATGTTACACATTCTTCGTGAAAAAGTTATAATTTATATTAGGATATGTATTTAAATACCCAAATGATTATTATAATATCTAAACAGATTTTTTTTTCATACTTTAGAAAGTAGAATTATGGACCCATGTACTACTTATGATTGACTATTCATTTATTGGCGGTGCTTTTATTTATTATATCCCTTGTAACTTTCAAACGGTTTGTACGACGTAATTAAAATATTTCACAAATTTGTTTAAAATTAAGTGCTATATAATCTTTTCTTAACATTACAAAGACCTACAGCAACTCGATATACTTTAATTCGCTTTTGAAAGTATAATTATGGACCCATATACTACTTAAGATTGACTTTAGTAACTTTCAAAGTACTCATCCAATTCAAAAGCAATATTTGACAAAAATGAATAAAATAAATATTCTACAATTTCTTCTAACATCACAAACCCTACAGCAACTCGGTATACTTTAAAACAACTTAAATTTACACATATAATTTATATGATTCTTTTTGTTATTGATTTCTAAATAGATTTTAAATTAAATCAAATCAGATTTCTCAAGACCAGTCAAAAAAAAATTCTACTAAACTCAAATGCCTTAGAAATTCAAGATACATTTGGAATTTAAACGTAGATTTAATAATATAAATTATCTTATAATAGTTTAAGTTCTTAAAGTATTAAAAAAGTGCCTCTATAACATATTTTTTATTTCTATAATTATATTCATATTTTTTTCAAGAAATTCAAGATAATTCATCAAATAATCAGATGCAAGTGGCATAAAGTTTTCGATATGTATCGACTTAATATAAAATCTATATATTAATTTATGAAACTCAATTATTAAATTTGTACAAACTTGCCAAATTTACTCATTATGTAAAAACTTATTTAGAAGTTTCATTGTGTCAAAAATTCATGTGTTTGGCATTGGATACGAAATATTTACCCAAGTTAATGAAGCGGTTTGGGTCTGATTTTTTTTATACTGTGCTCCAATTTGTATGAATTTTTGGAATTAGGTTCATCTTACTCTCAAGTTCAAAAGTGAAAATAATTTAGACTCCTTTGACATCAAGTTACCGACTACTGAAAATTTGTTTCTTTTTGGCGCTTTTTATTGTTTTTTGCAAATATCTGCAAAAATATACATTTTAACGAAAATCATGCCATGAACAAAATTATATCAATTTAAATCTTAATAAATCGGTGTTTTATAACGTGTCCTAGGGACAATATTAAGATCGATATGAAAAAGCAAAGTCGTTTTTTATTTCGTTTGAAATTTAATTGTTGTATTTGAAGCCATCTAGCGGCGAGGTAGTACGTTTTATATATTCTATGGGGTTTTATAGTGCTCAAAATAAGCTTTAAAATAAAATGAGTACTGTTAAAGGTCTTTTTTTTCCTTCAAATCAAATAGTTTTATGAGTGCCACCAAAATTACAATTAATCGTATTTCATCTAGAATTGACTTGGTTCAAGAGATTCAAAAATATCACGGAAATTGGAGCACAGTGAAAAAATTGATTTCTAATTAATTAATCGTTAGAATTCATTATATTAATTTATAAATATTTTAATTGTTAGAGATCAATTAACATCTTGTAGGCTATTATATATAGGAATCGCAAAAATCGAAAATCGCAATTTTTTTTATTTAAATGGATGTATGTGTGTGTGTAGTATGTATGCCTGTGCGGATACATTTTTTAATTTGTATTGACAAAATGAAAAACAGATTGAATTTTTGGAAACGCAGGTCTAGCAGTTTCGGAGATCCAATAAAAAATGCCATTTGGCACACAAAAATGATATCGGGCATATGCACATCAAATTAACAAATTTTGTCTCTAAAACAGCTACGCAGCGCGATTGCTTTGAGAAAGTGCTCATAATTCTCAAAAAAATTCAAAATAAAAAAAAACATTTTTTTTCAAAAAAATTCAAATTGCGGTACGGGAAGTTCTAGGAACTAGCCTTTTAAGGCACGATACCATGCACCACTAGTTTATATATCCAAATGTGACCCTCGACTCGTCTCAATGCCAATGTCCTCCACTGTTCTTTTCCTTCGGCCGGTTGTCGGCAGCCGCGTCCGTGATTACAGGGCTCGAACGCAAGACTCTCACCGTCTCTCTTTGCCTCACACTATCCCAGTGCAATCATCGCATTCGTTTCGTTTCGTACGAGTATCGGCACATTCATTCACACACATGGACTTTTGCTCGTCGATTGCCGAATCATTTCGTCTTTCGTACGTGATCATAGCAAGTAATAATAAATACTTTAGTATTAATTCGACTAATGAAAATATTATTAAACAGTAACCGTAATATTGGTAAGAATCGTCGAATTTAAACTTGTTCTTGGTGAAACATCCGTCGTATTTAGGACATAATAGTCGAAATAGTTGTAAGGGGACGTCCATTAATCACGTGAGGCTTTTAGGGGGTTTGATTAAAAATCACGAAATATCACGTGGGGGAGGGAGGAGTATAGTAAGATATCACATGTATTTATTTTATAACTGACTTTTTTTTTTAAAAAAAACAAACATTTTCAAAAAAAAATCAAAAATCTTACAGTTTTATCACGTGATGTTTGGTGGGGGGGGGATAATTTTGAATATCACCATGTATCACCAATGGGTAGGGAGGGTTCAAAAACCCTTAAAAACTCGCTCACGTGATTAATAGACGCCCCCTAAGTACCGGAGTTGCCTTAAGACAAGTTGCTTGAACTTCTTGATACGTTAATTAGCAAGAATTGAGATTCACAGATTTTCTTTTAATTTAATAGAGATAGGGTTCTCAAACCTTGACTTCCAGAATATAAGTCAACTGTGTAAGAGCTAAAATTAATATTTTAAAAGTTGTCAAAAATAATTTTGGCTTTAAAGTATTTTGTTGTTTTTTTCTATATTAGACTAGACCAGATGAGACCACATAGATTGACTTAGCGTTTCTAAGAGTTTTTAGAGGCGATTTGCTCTTAGAGAAGATTTGTGTGAGAAAAATTGACACTACAGTTGATTTGCGATGATCTTTTATCCTAATTACTTTCAATTATTTTTATAATTTTCGTCGGTACTTCACTGATTCATTTCGTTTTGTGAATCTGGCCGAAACGTGTTCGGTAAAAGATATTATATTATAAAGGACGTTGTTTTTGAGATATTGCATATAAATACATCAATGAAATTTATCGACGGGAATATATTAAGAGAGGAATCGTTTATGTCAGAAAAAAATTAACACCTCTTAAGGCCTGGAGGGATCGACACCTTATTTTACACCTCGGATTCTCACAGAGAAAGACACACACACATACACAAACACACACACACAAATATATATATATATATATATATATATAAATAATATATGTAAATAATTGTAATAAATCTCGTTACGTGATACTTGAACGATCCCTTACTCAGCGACAAATGAATTAAAAGTGAAAATTCGAAGCTCTGCAAAATTTTTGAAATTTTTTTCATGCTATTTCTAAAAGTAAATATTAGGAGCTGAAACTTTCAGAGAATTGCTTTTTATCAATTTGGAAGCATTTGAGCCCTTGGGAGCAAGGAAATTTGAAAATGTCCATATTAAGGACCACCCTAATGCACATAAACTAAAACTTCCTGAAGAGCTCATCATAATTGCACCGTATCCAATATTTAAAATAAAAAAATTGATAAAACTTTTAATTTCATTCTACGTTCTGAAAATACCAAAGATCTCCAAAACGTATGAAATTCCCAAAAAACATTTTTGTTAAAATTTTAAATGTCATTTTTAGCTACATCATAGTTGATAGAAAAATTGATAGAACTTTTAATTTCATTTTATACTCTAAAATAGCAAACATCCCCGGAAAGTTTAAAATTTTTATTGCTATTTTTAGCTTCAGCATAGTTGACTTATGTTATAAAAAACAATAGGAGAAAATACGTGTATACCAAATAACCATGATACATTTCATCATAATTTATGTAGTTTCTGTAGAAAAATTAAAAATCCTATCTCTATTCGTTTAGTAGAATGCTCGTTTGAACCTTGATAACTCTCTCATACACACAATTTTACAAATTTGATTTTTTCTTTTCCAGAGACCCAATGGACGCCTTACTCCTAGAACAGCACCTCCGTTCACCCCTACGTCTATTCCCAGACTCCTTGCTAGCCCACGCGCACTCGCCCTACCATCTAGCAGCAGCCCAAACGACACACCAGTCCCTGAGCCAACAAATCGCCCAACACCAACAAAACCTAGCCCAATCATCAAACTCTCAAGAAGACAGCATTTTAGACAAAGCAGCAAGAGCCCACATGATCTGGGCCCAGAATCTAGCCCACCAAAGCCTGGCCCAAAACCAGGGCCAAACAGACCCCGAATCGATCCTGGAAAAAGCAAGGGCCCATATGTTATGGCAACAGCAACAGAGGACATCGACAGCCACAAATGGGCCGTACGGGGAATTTTTTTACCCCAGGTTGCAAACTTTGGGAGCCCTGAATTCTTTGGCTGGTTTTTGGACGCAGAATCAGTATTTGCAGCAAGGATCGGCCTTTGCGGCGAGGAGTCCTGGTTTTGGGGCTTTGGGGGCTGGTGCTGGGGGTAATAGAAGCCCTAATAGGGAACCGGGGACTCCTAGCAGTAGTGGGAGCCCTAGTCCGGTGGCTAGCGATTTGAGGAGTGGGAACCAGAGCCGGTTTTTGGGACAGAGGTATAGTCCTTATCCTAATCCGTCGAGTCCTGGGGGACAGAATAGACAATAGGATAAAGGATAGTGAACTTATTATTGATAATAGTTGAATTTCTCGGATGAAGTATATTAGAACAATGGAAAGGATTTAAGACATTTCTCATTGTGATGATTTTTCATTGCCAGAGATATAGAAAAACAACTTGAAAGTCAATCATTGATTTCTTGAAATGATGATTTATCCATTGCTAATTTTTTAGCAAGTTTTGTAAAAAAATGGATGTCGACAAAACCACAGAAAATTGATCAAAGTCGAAGAATCAACCAAAATTTGTTTGAACACATTTTTGGATCATCTTTTATTGTATTGTGATGATTTCCCATTGCCAGAGATATAGAAAAACAACTTGAAAGGCAATCATTGATTCCTTGAATTGATGATTCATCCATTGCAAATTTTTTAGCAAGTTTTGTAAAAAAAAATTGGTGTCGGCAAAACCACAAAAAATTTAATCTCTTGGATAAAGTATATTAGAACAATAAAAAGGATTTAAGACTGTTTCGTTGGTAGAACTACCAAATCAAAGGAACTACCAAATTTTTCAGTTTTAATGTGATGATTTCTTATTACCAGAAATATAGAAAAACAACTTGAAAGTCGATCATTAATTTCTTGAAATGATGATTTATTGCCAATTTTTGTAGCAAGTTTTGTACAAAATTTATATCAGCAAAACTACAGAAAAATGATCAAAGAATTAAGATGACGTCAAAAATATATAAAGTTTTTGTTGATTCAGTGACCAAAATATTAGACAACTGGAAGAACTGACTTCTATTTTTGACAATAGGGGAAAGGATAGTAAACTTATTATTGGTAATAGTTGAATTTCTTGGATAAAGTATATCATAACAATGGAAAGTATTGAAGACATTTCTTATTGTGATGATTTCTTATTGCGAGAGATATAGAAAAACAACTTGAAAGGCAATCATTGATTCTTTGAATTAATGATTTATCCATTGCCAATTTTGTAGCAAGTTTTGTAAAAAAAATTATGTCGACAAAACCACAGAAAATTGATCAAAATGTTGAAAATCTCTGACCTCAATTGATAATCCATTGTATCTGCTTTCCAAAAATGATCAGAAATTGATGGGAAAACTACTAATTCAAAAGGTTGTTTCTAAATCATCTAAAAATTGGTGATGATGCTTCAAAAAACCTGAAAAACTTTCAGCGACATTATCAAAGGCCATCATTGTCTACAAAATAGACAATTTTGATCTAAAATTAAATTGTGCAGTGTTTTGTATCAGTGGAACAAAAAGACTTATACCAAAATAAATTTCTGCATGTGCATTAAGATTTTTTATTAAGGGTCTAAAGTACCCTTAACAAAACTGAGTTGATCTATGTATTTCTAATACATATTGTACAGTGTTTTATATCAGTGAAACAAAACTTTAGCTATTGCAAGTGTTGTGTTGTAAAAAAATAAGGGTCCAGTACCCCTTTGGACCCTAAAGACTATCAACTTATTAGAGTTGAATTATTTATTTGTAATATATATTTATATTTAATTATTTATATCAATGTGCTTTGTAAATATAAATGTAGTGGACTCTTGTGATTTGTACTTAGACGTGCTAGAAAATTGGAGAATTTAATTAAATTGAATTGGTACGGAACTTTAGATTTTAAAAATGAAAGTTTGATACTTTTGTTTTTTTTTGGGGGTTTTTGTGAAGAAATTTTTGGGGATTTTGACGTAGCAAGCATGAAAAATCAAAATAGGAATAAATAATTGTATAAAAGGCAGTATTTCTCTATCCTAACGAATTCAAACTTTTTCAAATATCTTTTACCCTTTTTTATATTTAAATTATCCTGGACACACACACTTCCACACTTCAAAATTTTGCAATTAAAGTCTAATTTCAACATTTTTTGGTACTCAAACGACTTGTTCTATAAGTCTAAAATTTACCCCAACATTAGCCACATATTTAACCAACATGCCACAAAAATATCCTCACAATATCCTTTATCCTTTTTGTTATATTGAAAATATCCTGGACATACGCACTTTCAACCTTCAAAATTCTGCAATCAAAGTCAAATTTCAACAATTTTTGGTACCCAAACGACTTGTCCTATATGCCTAAAATTCACCCAAACATTAGCCACATATTTAACCAACATGCCACAAAAATATCCTCACAATATCCTTTATCCTTTTTGTTATATTTAATTTATCCTGGACATACGCACTTTCAACCTTCAAAATTTTGAAATTGAAGTCAAATTTCAACCATTTTTTGTACCCAAACGACTTGTCCTATATGTCTAAAATTTACCCCAATATTAGCCACATATTTAACCAATATGCCACAAAAATATCCTCACAATATCCTTTATCCTTTTTGTTATATTTAAAATATCCCGGACATACGCACTTTCAACCTTCAAAATTTTGCAATTGAAGTCAAATTTCGACAATTTTTTGTACCCAAACGACTTGTCCTATATGTCTAAAATTTACCCCAACATTAGCCACATATTTAACCAACATGCCACAGAACTATCCTCACAATATCCTTTATCCTTTTTATTATTTTCGGCCAAACCTTCGCACACGTCGAGAAGGTCCTTTTAAAAATTTCACGGCAATTTTCCGCTCGCCACGCTCGAGGTCTCTTTCTTAATAATGTTTGCTTTCTTATTTGTATTTTACGAAGAATTGTCGATGTCGGTGACATTTTTAATGTTTATTGTTTATTTTGGAAAAGAAATCGTATTTAAGTTTGATTTATTTGCCGTGAAATCGAGAATTTGAACGACGAATCGTAAAAGTCGTGTAAATATCGCTTTTACGACTTTTGGAAGCGAAAATTGATCGGGGAAATATATTTTGTGTATTAAAAGTACTGTACTAATTTTTTCACTAAATTACCTAATTTAGTTTTCTATCATTAATGTGCTATGTCAAAATCCGCCGATTTTTTCTTTTTTTTCAAGAGATTTTTCTCAAAATGAGCCAAAGATTTGTGTAAGTTGAAAAACCGATTAATTTTACATAAAAAATTATAATAGTATCAATACCAGTTAAATAATTTTTTATTTTCGTTAATAATTATTTAATTATTGGCAATATCAATCTAATAATTATTGATAGTAGTAATGAAACAAATTTGTTAATAATTAATCATGAGTTATTTTCAAAACCAAATATTTATTGGCAATAAAAATTAATTACTTTTTATCAAAATTAATTTTCTAATACTAATTAATTTATTGGCAATATCAAAGAATTATTTTCAATATTATTGGATTATTTAATTATTGTAAATACTTGTTAGTTTTTGTCAATACTAATTAGTTATCAATAATAATTATTTGAATTGTAATTTAATAAATGAATTCATTAGTTAATTCAATTAATATCAATTTAATTTGTAAATATGTAAAAAATATCGTGTGATTATTTATTGTGTACAAAATAACAAGCTTTTGCGAAAAAAATGTGTAAAACAAAAAATATTTACTGTTTTTACAAATTTTTGACAAAAATTTTAGTAAAAATTTACTTTTAATTTTTAAACAATGTAAATTTATCAAATATGTGATTGTCTGACATTTTATCAAAATTTTGTACAACGTACTATTAGAAAATTATTGAGAAAAAAAATCGTCTGTGTTTTTATTAAGTAAATTTTGTTTATTAATTAATTGTTGCTAAAAAAAATCGTGTAAATAATTCTAGATCGTAATATTTATAAGTTGACTGTGTATATTAAAAACTATTATATAAATATAATAATTATTGAATATTATATATATTAGAAATATATTATACAAAAATATTGGATTGAAAAAGTTGTGGTTTTATTTATTATGAAAAAATTAATATGGAATTTGTTTCAGTTTTTTTTAATACAAATATAAAAAAATTAAAATTAAATTAAACTTTAAAATTAAACAAATTGGAATAAAAACACTAAACAAAATTTTCCTGTTTTTTTTATATAAAAATTGTGTGAGTTTTATTTTATTGTTTGAAATTCATGTAAAAATTGTGAGAGGTTTATTTTCTTTATAATTTTTTTCAAAAATTATAAAAATTTTATTATTAAATAAAATTAAGTAAATTTGAAAAATATTAAAGTTAACTTAAAAATAAATATATTTGTATATTATTAAATTTTAAATAAATTAAATTAAAAAACAGTAAAAGCCAACTGGCAAAGTAGAAGAACTTCTGCAATTCAGGTTAAGTTTGTACTTTTAAATATTAATTTTTGAGTATACCAAAATGTTCTAAAAATTTATTGTTCTTAAAATTTATAATTTAAACATTTTTAAAGTATTTTCTCTAGTAATCCATACATATTAATCGAATGGTTTGTGGTTCATAAATTTTATAACAAAAAAAGTACTCCAATCGTACTCAGATTAATTTCAGTGTAATTTTAAAGTATACCGAGTTGCAGTAGGGGTCTATAAAGTTAGAAAATATAGATAATTTAATTTTGAACAAATTTGCTTAATATCTTATTTATATTGCGCGAGTTACTAAACAGATATACAAGAAAAAGTAAAAAAATGAATACTACAATACAAATGATTGAGTATAGTTTTAAATTTATTCTAATATAAAAATTGGTGTCTAATTTGTAATATTTTTAGCTATAGTATATATTCATTATATAGTTTCTAAATAATAATTATTTTTTATTTATATATTAAACTAAATAATATGTCTTAAGGTGAGTCTAGACATCAAAACCGAAAAATAAAAAAACAAAAAAATTCTTTTGCCTAATTTGTATAATTGGCGATCCTCTCAACGATGGCTACTGTTCGAAAATATATAAAAATAAACAGTAAAAGTTTTATTACATTTTTTACTGGTCGTAAAAATAATGAAATCCTTAATAATTATTCGAACCGAGAGAAGTTATGAGTTTTTGGAATAGTTTTAGACTCTAATTTGGCTAGAAGAATTTGAAAAGATTTGTTAAAAAATGGAAGAAATCATAGAAATAATTTTTATTTCATTTAGACAAAAA